TAACATTTTACATTTTTGTTGGATTTTATGGTTGAATGATAGAAGTTGAAATTAATCATTCACTCTCAAGCTTTAGCAAAAATGTTTATGAAAGGATTTTCATTTAAGAAATCTAGTTGTGTCAAACTACTAGACGGCAAATTGATTTGACCTTTGTTTTTTCCTACCAAGAAAGAAAGATGCATTTTAGATTAAAAAAAATTATTTTACAAACTGAACTGTGCATTAAAAATTTAGTTTATTTGATAAATATATTAAAATATTTTTAACAAAATTAATTTTATATTATTTTATTAAAAACATTTTAATAAATTTATAACTTAAACTATATTTTTAATATACAATTTAAATTATAAAATATAAATCTTATTTTATGTTATTTATTTAATTTTCTTATCAAATTATAAAAATTTATGATTTAAGGATAGGGATAGCAACGGTTCCCCATGAGTGCGCGGATCCCCTCCCATCCCATCTCTGCTAATAGCGGGTACGAGATTTCTACAAGGATTTTTGGTAGAGCATCAAAAATAGCTTTTGTCCATTCCCACGGGGAATAATAAGTCTCCGTGGGTATTCGAAGTCTTTGCAAAATAAAACTATCGCTTACTCTATTGCTTGTTAATCAAACTTTTCGTTGCTTGCTAATCAAAATTAAGTTCAACATGGGTTTACTTAAACTCCACTAGTTTTCACATTTATCAAATAAAACTAGCTCAAATAATTATAGAAAGCAAAAATTTGAAACAAGACAAACAAACAGTAAATATACACCGCCAATATATACATGTCAAGCAGGTCTAGCAAGTTAGGAAAAAGTTCATAAAGAAAAAAAAGGCATAAACTGCCATATAAATCCAACAAAAGGTTCATAAAAAAAAAAGGCATAAATTGCAACTATCACACAGATTTAGATTTAGCAAAGTTCATAGAAAAAAAATGTATAAACTATTGCCATAGACGTCCAATAATAAGTTCATTAAGAAAATGGGCATAAAAGAGTCTAGTATACATCCATCCAATCCAGTAAGACAAACTTTGCAGCAACAACTTCAACTAAATTTGATCAATAATTTCAAGGTAAGGAAATAACTTCTTGAAACAAAAACAAGTACCCAGGGGCGGAGGCAAAAATTTTTTTCAAGGGGGGCAAAATACTAAAATTTTCAAAGTTCTGGGGAGGCTAGATAATTTTTTATATACTAATTTGCAAGATTTTCAAATTTCAGGGGAGGCGAGCGCCTCCCCTCGCACCCCCTTGGCTCCGCCACTGCAAGTACCCCAAGTTAACAAAACTTTAGAAAAAATTCTTTATATCATATTGAAGAATAGAAACAAAGTTATGGGCATGATCTTTCGAAGGATAGATTGAAGGGAATTGACCGATTGAAGGACAAAAACAGAGCCAGTGAGCTACAGTGCAGTCTATGTAGAGGAGAGGAGATTGTAGTTTGGAGAGGAGGAGGAATCGCAGTTCACAGATTTGCAGATCTAAAATCAATCTATAGGTAGTAGTCCTTCTAGTTCTAGTGTTATTACTTACTAATGCAGATTGGGTTGAGTCTGAGCAATTAAGTTTAGGAAGACTATAGGTTGGATTGAACTGAATAATTTGATTTGAAAAAATAAAAAAAAATGGATTGATCCGTTAATTAAATTGAGTAAGCAAGAATTAATTGTTAATATATTTAAAATATATAAAAATAAATTTATTTTTTTTTATTTTATATAGACTTCACAATTCTCTTTAGATGAAAGAAATTTCCCATAAAATTAAAAAAAAAAAAAAGTCTCCATCCCCATTCTATAAAGAGGAATATCCTTGGAATCTTCATTTTTACGACGAGAGAATCTACAAAATTTCGCAGATAACGGAAGAAACTACCATCCTTATTTAAGGACAAATAATTTTTTAGCATAATATTTTTATAACTTTTATATATTATTAAGCAAGTAAATAACTTCATATTATAAACTTTAAATAAATAAAAAAATTAATTATTTAAATAATAGATAAAATTATATTAAAATAATATAAAATTTATGTTAAAATCATTTTCAATAAAAAAAAATTTTACATCTATCACGCGCAAGCACGCTCTTGATGTTATGACCATTGACTGCAGTACCACTGCAGTGCGTCCTACACAGCACGCCCATTCCACATTCGGCATTCAAGTTTCATGCCCCCCCACCTTCTCCAATATTTACATGACACCGACCCACCATACCCTACTCTACCGCCCGCTACCTAGTCCCAACAACTCCCCTCCTCGTCCCACTGGCACTCCAGTCCTCCGTTCTCCCTTTACAATCTCAGGAGCCGGCGGCGGCAATGGCGAGCACTGCTAAAACCGATCCAGAGGAGCACAACAGAGAGGAAGAGAACGCACCTTCCGCTGAAGACGAGGACACCGGGGCTGAGGTCGCTCCCATCGTCAAACTCGAAGAGGTGGCCATCACTACTGGCGAAGAAGACGAAGATCCGATCCTCGATCTGTATGGAATTGTTGATTCTTTCCACTTATTTTTCCTCCGATTGTGTTTGATTTCGCGTTTTGGTTATCGTTCTTCGAAGTTTTTGTGTTACAGAAAATCGAAATTGTATCGATTTGACAAGGACGGGAATCAGTGGAAGGAGAGAGGAGTTGGTACCGTGAAGCTTTTGAAACACAAGGTGACTGGCAAGGTTCGTCTTGTCATGCGCCAATCCAAGACACTCAAGATCTGCGCTAACCATTTTGGTCTGTTTTTCCTCTTGGTCATTCTGTTATTTCTACTGGTTGATTGCTTATAAACTGTGAAAAAGAAACTAAATTTTGATGTTTTTGGGTAATTTCATTGTTGAACATATATGGTTTGTTGCTTTCTGATTTGTTCTTCTTTGTGCATATAATGCAGTTCTTCCTACGATGTCTGTGCAAGAACATGCAGGAAATGATAAATCTTGCGTGTGGCATGCCACTGATTTTGCAGATGGAGAGTTGAAAGATGAGCTTTTTGCGATTAGATTTCCTTCAGTTGACAGTGAGTATTATTTGCTTCAGATATTTCAATTTTCTATATATTTAATCTTTGTTTTTTTCAATAAAGTTTCTAGTTTTATTGGGTTATTATAAATTGCTCTATTACATTCACACGTTACATATTGGAGTTTTCAGTACATATGTCCTGTATTTACCATATGGCTTTTTAATTCATAAACTTAATTCTTTTTTTTTTTGGTAAAAGTTAACGTTTGGACTCATACTCTTTGTTAGAACTTAGTAGCGATTATCAGTCTTTCATACCGTTTATCCTTTTATAGTACTAGAAGTACAGATTAGAAACGTAGAAGAATCAGAAACTTTTACAGAGTATAAACTTATGGATTGAGAAACTTTGGCCATACTCTAGTTATGGTCTTATACAAGAAGAGAGATGCATTCTAAATTCTGTATAGAATATTCAATTATGAGCTAGATATCCCATGAGATTGTGTCTGATAATAACAGTTAAGATATGACCGTGTCTGACATCTTTCTGGATTTAGACTGGGCTATTACAGCCACCAATGTGTTGTCTTTCTGTTTGAATATGTTATATTTGGATTCTGCACCCACTTGTGTCATAATTGGTACCTTGTCATTTACATGTGATATTGGGCACCTATTTGCGTGATTTTATGTGCTTAACGACATGTCCATGTCTTCTTTTCAGATTGCAAGACTTTCAAGGAAATTGTTCAAGAGGTTGCCGAAAGCCAGGGAAAGAATGAGGAAAACAAAGATGCCACTGCTGCTGCTGCTGACCTCCTTGAGAAGAAGTTGAGTGTCAGTGAGAGTAAAACTGATGTGAAAGAACAGGAAGAGGCTAAAGATAAGAAAGAATCTGCAGAAGAGAAAACAGAAGCAGAGGCCGAGAAGAAAGAAGAGTCTGCTTCATCAGCATAAACTTGAGGGGAGTATTTTTTCTGGACTGTCCTTTTTCGTTTATATTGGGTTGCAAGTGGCTGGTGGATGACGCTTTCCCCCATAAGTCAAAATCATACATGTTGCTCAATTGAATTCTACTGGATCCTATCTGGATAAAATAGCTTGTTTGTTGGTTGGATTGGACTGGATTTTGTAATGGACACAATTAATCAGTTATGGATGTCAAGGTCATTTGGTTTGGGAAATGGTTACCGAGCTTCATTTTCCATTTATCAAAGTGTCTGTTTCATGAAATTGTTTGTAGTGAATTGGTTATTATTAGTTCTTGGCCAATACATACCATGAATTGTTCTACATTCTAGCTATTGTTATAAACTATTCAAATCTCATCTCCAGTCCAGTTCGCTTTCACCTTGGGACCGGTAGGCCCTTCCTCCCCAAGTACTTCTTTTGGTATGCTCTTCACTGCCTTCTCGAAGACCGATTTAAGCTTCCCGGGCAGTGCTTTCTCTACTGTCTTGATCTGATCGTCAATGTTATAACTAATTTTTGGACCCCATCCTCTAAAGTAGTTGAGCCATGGTGGTTCTGTAACAGTAGAACCTAGATGATCGGCTGCAACTACAGAAAATTGTCTTCCAGTATCCATCAACATCGTACTCTTAGCAGTGTCATTCCTGATACCTATTCCGCTGCTCCCTTGTAGAACTAGTCCAGGTTTGGAATATATGGCATGCCCGTTCAGAGATGAATAACTTACTGGCTTATTACCACCTTGAAACTCAAGCTCTGCTGCACTGACCCAAGAACCGTCACTGTGTTCCGAGCAATACATACTCCATAGTAATCCATTAAAATTGCTGATCCTTAAAGTAATATGCTCCCAGTCACCAACATGTTCACCTATCTTCCCCAAATCAACGTTGATAAATTCAACCTTAGCTCTTGCTGGTCCGTTGAAGGGGTAGAAAACCCATATCGCCATGTCCGTAAAGGTTGCACCTAGCATAGGCTTTACATGTAAATAAGCCTGGGAGTTGCTTAAATCTCCTTTCTTTACTCTCTCTTTGGCACCTTCATCTACAGGAAGGTCCAACCAGTACGCTCCATCATTGGAACCGCCTTGGGGAAGGTTTGCACCCGTTGGTTCGATTACAACCGGGTTGGACTCTTCTCCCTTTTTGTATAGCAACGCCCCTTTGATAAAATACCAACTAACTGAAGACGGAAGGTGCTTTTCATTCGGATGAAAATAAATCCAAGGAGAGTAAGCTTGAAACAATATCTCAATTTGGTGTAAATTGGGCATGTAAGACAAATCTGATTTGGCATTCTTCAAACAAGCCAGATTAACACTGCCATTTCCATTTCCAGCTGCAAATGTGCCCACGGATACCCCCATAGCTTGGGATCCTCTTATGCTTGGCCTCACACTGAAAACATTGAATCCAGTTTCGTTGACATTCTTTTGGGGCCCCCATATCCAGGTGTCAGCCTCGCATCCATCAGTGAAATCAGATCGAACGCAGCGTATTTTGTCTAGAGAAGGCTTCTCCGGGGAGTTGGTGATGACATGGCCCATAGTCTTATACCCATCACGGGGAGTAGGCAACCAAAAGTAGGCATTGCCATCTTTCTTCATGTTAAGTGATTCACTGCTCCAAACAAGGGTGTAATCAACCGGTTTGGCCAGTAAAGAAGCATCCGTACTGTCATCCTTTGCAACCAGAACCCAGCCAAAGAGTGGCTTATTGTTGGGTTGGCTGTAACAGCCCAGCAAAAAGAAGCCCTCTGGCATTTCCGAAGGTTCAAAAAAGGTGGCACCGAGGTCATCAGGTCCTCCTTGGTAAGTGGCCCAGATTTTTGTGAAAGATGATAACTGACGCACAAGTAAGCCACCGAGATCAATCACTCCGCTCCCAAACCCTTCGCTCGGAGGCCATGTTGGTAATGGAGAGGGAAGCCTGAAGAGGGTTTCAATCGGCAAAGCCTTGCTTTTCGTCCAAGGGAGAGGAAGGCAATTCCCCATCACTGAATTTTGGAAATCTGATCTCTTGAGTTATGCAAAAGGTAATGAAATGCGTGGCCACAAGGATAGAAGAGATGCATATTCTGTTTAGGAGATGCATATTCTGTTTTATTCTGGGAATAACGGAGAATAAAAGCAAGGTATTAGTTGAGGACCATGGCAATTTTTAATGTGTGAGTCCTACAAGCAAGACGGGAAAGGTTGAAACGTCCCTTTCACGCCAAGCTGCATTTATTTTGCAGTTGCCTTTTGTTGTAGTATTAATATAGGACTCCCCGAGTTACTTCAAAATCTCACCTGTGTTAATTAAGCTTAGAAGTTTGAACCTTTACAATAGCTATGCTGCAATGCCAAGGATATGAGAATGGTCACCGATTTTTGGTGCATTAATTTAAGTCCATGTTTTTTTTTTCTTTCTTTCTTTCTTTTAGACGGTAAGATTTTCAAGGAAATGGTTCAAGAGGTTACCGTGCTAAGAGTCTCGGAAAGGAGAAGTAAAAGGGAAGATGCCATTGCTGCTGCTGACCCTTGAGATGTTGACTATCGGAGCGTAAAACTAATGTGAAAGGACAAGAAGAGGATCGAGGTTGAGAAGGAACCTGTAAAAGAGAGCACAAAAGCAGAGGCCAGTAAGAAAGAAAAGCCTCCAAAGGATAAACGAAGTTTATAGATTTGTTCATTTACTCTATTTTGTTATAAAAGAAGGTTGATGAGCATTGTTTTCCATTTATCGAAATGATTGCAGAGAACTGGTAACTATCTATTTTCTTTGCCAAATCCAAGTCATATCTTGGTCGAGCTAGCTTTTTGATTTTGGAGAGGAGAGGTCAGGCGGTCAGGGTTTTCTAGGTTAAGGTCTTAAGGAGGGAATCTAACGACGAAGGAAGTCATTCTTCCCTTGTTTTCTTCGTGAAGCACAGAATTGATGCCGATTCTATATTCGGTTGAGTTGGAGTAATTTGCTATTGGAATCCATAATGATATTAAAAGGCTGACAAAAATTGGATTGAATTTTCACGCGGCATCACTTGATTGAATGATTAAATCATAAATGACACTTTCAATGTGTTTTAGACCTGACAGCCAAAAAGAAAAAACAAACACGAGTTTTAGACCCAAACCTCCCCCCAACCTTGATAGCATTTTTTGTTTGTAAAAGAAAGTAGAAAATCTAGTTTGTAATATGACTGGATTTAATATAAGGTAGACAGTAGTCGTGCGCCAACCCCAATTTCCGCTGGATTTTAGTCCAGAATTGTAGCAACCAAATTGATAAGTTCAACTATTAGAACTGAGGCCGAAAGTCCCTATAAAACCCAAAATTCTTACATTTAGATAAAAATGATCCCATCCCACCCCACTTCCATTCAGTTATAAAATTTAAATTGTACTCGGGAATTCATACCTTCACTTTGCTAGCAAACTATTTACAAAATTTTCTGTCGCCCAATGGCATATACAAATGAAAATGAGAAAAATAATAAAATCGAGACACAGCCCAATGAGATAGAAAAAAGACAGAAAACAATACAAAGAATGTAGAAACCATCCATCAGTCAGTCAGAAAAATAAGCATCCATATCACCTGCATGGAATACAAAAAAGAAATACAGGTTAGATCCTACCATTGAGAAACTACTAAATCACCATTAGTTTGAAAGGTTTGCGTTCCTCAAAGAATTAAAGCCATCCTAAGTTACCAAGAACTGAAGATTCTCAAAAAAGACTAAGAAATGTCATATATATATATATATATATCAGGTCTTGGGAAACGAAAAGGCAAACAATCTCCTACCATTATTGATCGCTATGATTAAGAGGATAAGTAGACTCACCCAATGTATATTCCAAAACTTATAGAAAGGTACAAAAATTGAAGCACCGAGGGAAAGAGGCCTCGCATAGAAAATGTAAACCACGCTTGTCTATGGCATCTTTAACGCCTGCTTTAGTTGTGCAAATGCAGCAGGATGCATACTTCCAATGGCAGAATTGAAGGATTCCCCATGCAGGCCAGCACAAGTTTGAAGATTGTCCCTCAATGAATTTTCTAACGACATCTGGTTGATAGGGTCTGAGAATTTGATCTGAAAGCCATCACCAAAAAAGTTGTATCGTTGGACCTTTTTTATCCATTTATCAAAACTTGGCATCTTAGAGTGTGCACATGAAGATTTACCTGTCTTTTCCTGAACTCCTTACTTGGAAGGGTGCCTTCTCCATCAGATCTGCTAGAGCTCATGTTGTCACCACTGTCATTTACTAGCATAACTTTAGAATATTTGAAAAGAAATGGGTAATGAATTCCTATTAGAAATTATAACACAAATAATAATTCGAAAAACATAGGATCTCACCTTGACTCTTCCTCAGTTAAGTCGTCTGTCACCCCCAAAATTACACTTGTGCACACACTACATCAACAAAAGTTAAATCATAAATGCATGTGTTACAAGTCACCAAATTGCAGATATTCAAAGTTGAAAGCACACCTTAGGATCTGATCAAGTTTGTCAAGAACTTGAGGCAATCTCAAAGTCAAAATTATGGAAAGTGCCAACCCAAAAGTCTTCTTCTGTGTGGAAGATACATTGTCTACCTGCAAATAGATTGAAAAAACTGATGAATGATGAGTATTACTTTATGTGCGTTTTGGATTGAACATAGCCTCCTAATGAACAAAGTTCAGATATTGTAGTTTGCCAGTGTATAACACCCTCTTTATTACTCATATTGGACAAAGATGTCATTAAGAAAATGCTCCAGCTTGAAATGCCTAATGTCAGGTCTACTGAGAATTCTAAAGCACAACTAGGGGAAGAGAAAGGAGATCCAATATGATGCAATCAATGGCTCACCATAAAGTCTATTAACAAGGAATAGCATATTCACATTCATTATACAGAATTACAGTCAAATCCATAAGTTGAATGATTCAAATAATCAAAAGATAATGGAACTTTTAATCATTCCTCAGGGTAATTGTTCCACTAACCTTGTCTAGCCATATGTCAACCAAACAAAGAAGTATATTTTCTTCAATTGGAACACCTGCTTGCTGCAGTTGTGACGAAAGAGATGGGTCTGATGTTAATTGTGCAAGGAAGTTGGTATTCATGACTAATATCCTTGCTAGGATAGCAGCTGATGATGCTTTAACAGCTGTTTTAGAAGGATCACGATCATCTCCTCCACTCAAGCAAATAACTACTAGTTTCTAGCAAAATTTAACAAGACACACCAACTGAATGAAATACCTCCAAATAGAAAATAATTTTGTAAAGACAATTACGAGAACAAAAACTATAAAAGATCTCTTCAAGCAATGAATCACACTTACTTGTAAAGTACTGCTGATCAATTGAGGCACTTCCACAGAGAAACACTACAAAATGGGAGGGGAATGTGGACAGTTAGCACAACTAAGGTCTCTTAAAGATCCACTACAGCAGCTGCGATTCTGCAGCCAAAGTATCTGATTTAATGCATGACAGATTCTAGATCATTTGACACACATAAGAAGCATGGATACCAAACAGTTGCTTCTATTAGCTATTGAAGACACAATCCACCAATCTTATAAATGCAATACAATTAAACTACTTCAGGATGCAAAACCATATGGTAATAACTAACTATAATTACTATTTGCAACTTAACTGAACCAACTCTTATACTCCTGGTCATCCCAACAGAAAGACAGAAGGAAACTGCAAAGTGGCATATGAAATGGAATGCAATTGTTTTGGTTACAGTGCATTTTTAAGCCTTTAACTGTTCATGTGATTAATATTTGTAGTGAAATTTGCAGATAAAAAAAAAAAAAAATTGCAACAGCATCTTAAAAAACGCAGATTTTAATGTTAGCCTTATCTCACATGACCTATTCTGCATGAAAAATTATTCCTGAATAAGAGAAGGTTCAAGTACCTGTATTAGAATGTCAATGACAGGAAGAGTTGAAATAAGCCCTCGGTCATTGACATTTCCCACAATGAGGTCCAGAAGTGTAGCAACACTGCCAGAATGCATGCTGAGAAATTCTCTTCCACCCAAAATAATGTAACTCTCAAGGATATTGATGGCAACCTGCAACCATATTCAAGCCAATAAGATACACTAAATGGGGAAGAAAGAGTGGGAAGTGGTGATGGGTTTTTAACTTCAACCACATGCCACACTTTATAGATCTTCTGGACCTCTGACAACCTATGCCATTACTCATATCGCCATTAGTCATATCTGCCCAATTAAATACTCAACCTAAAAATAATTACAAAAAGGACATGGCAACCAGCCCCTTTCTTCTCTGTTTTCATATCTGCCCAATTAACTTTAACCACATGCCAAACTTTATAGATCTTCTGGACCTATCACATCCTATGCCATTACTCATATCTGCCCAATTAAATACTCAACCTAAAAATAATTACAAAAAGGACATGGCAACTAGCCCCTTTCTCCTCTGTTTTCATTTTCATCTTCCTGTACTGCCTCTTGATATCAACTAATTGAAGTTCCCAGATTACACATAGAAATCTGATGATTTACCAAAATAATTATGCATGAAACCCCCAATAGCCACATGAATTAAAATATGTGGAATGCACTTAGCAAAACCTACGATACACTGCCCACTTATAACAGTCTTAAGACTGATAAAGATCCAGAAAGTAGAAACATCACCATTAACTGCCCAACCATCAGAACCGACCCTAGATTGTACTCTTTAACAGAGTCAATGTCAACAAAGAACCATGGCCAAATCCATTTATGCTTAAATAATGTCTATGTACATTCCAACCAGTTTTTAGAAACAAAACTACATTTATATTCTTGCTAGTAGTCAGTTAAGGATTTTGAGCCAGTTGATCAAGATTAAAGTAATAACACAATCCTTCAAAATGCAGACCAAAGCTGGAGAATGTACAAGGAGAACATGAAGAAATAAACAAATAAACAATGGAGAACCAGTGACTTAATAAATCTAACCTGCAAATGATCAAAACTTCTTTCCAAGATTTCCACCAGACACGGGAAAAATGCTAAGAGTTGAGGCACCACTGCAGGGGCATGAGAAAGTGCAGCTTCCCACAACTGCAGGATAATGATGATATGCAGAACTATACATTTATAAAATAAGAGCAACACATTAAAGAAGTAGAATATTGAACAGGTTCTCTAACCAGCATGCTATCCTCTAAAAGGTTGAGTTCATCTGGGCTATTTATATCAATTCCTCTTTGAAGAATGGGCAGTAGCATGCCGTAGCAACTAGGTGATTCATAGCCAAGAGCTACAACAAAATTCCGCAAAGCAATAAGAAGTTGTATCTGTAGAAGGCTTTCACCGGAAGATTCCTCCCAAACCTTTTCAAATCAAAACAAAAATTCTTATTAGCATAGTCTTAAAGAATTATGAAATATTGCCAAATAACCTCCAAATACTAGCCAAGTTGCCAATTATCACCCATTTCCATTTATGCACAAGAACATAAAACTAATATCAATGAATTACACATTCTACTAACTTGTAATTAACAGCATATCAGAAGTGTGGACACAAACATATATTGATTGTGGCCACTCATGCACAACAGCACTAGGCCAACTTCTATTATCAGAGGAAAAAGAGCAGTTGCCCAATTTGGTACCAGTAAGTTCTATATTTAAAAGTTTCACTCTCTTACCTGAACTCCTTGATTAAAAAAGGTTGTTAAAAAAAAAAAGAAAGAAAGAAAAAGAAAAAGTAAAAAAGAGTGCTTTCCTGAACTCCTTGATAAAAAAAGGTTGTTAGAAAAAAAAAAAAAAGAAAAAAGAAAAAGGAAAAGTAAAAAAGAGTGCTTCCTAAACTCCTCGATACCCGTCAATCCAATGAAGCAACTAATAGTGACAATAGGATTAAAAACATCAATAAGGAGAAATCCAGAACAGAAATACCATCTGAAAAAACTGCATCAAGTTGTTTGCATATGGAATGACTTCATTGACATGGCCAATAAGAACAGAGATCAAATTTAAAACCTGGACCTGAAAACAATTAGAGAATATCACAAAAACTTCAGTTAAATATAATCAACATATACACATATGAAAAGGGGGATAACTGCCTACGCATGCATGCACACACCTATAAAGCAACCATAGTGGATTTAATTCTAGTTACAAATTACTTGACTGTGTAATACCCTAAGTATTTTTTATTAAAGCAAATATTTCTTTAAAGAAGTTATGCAGAGATGCATGCACCACAAAGGTGCAAATTTAAATCTCTAAGCAATACCAAGAACATCTGCTCACATTTATGGAGATGTGCTACAGATGCATTAAAGGAATTTTCTAAGAATTGAAGAATAATGTGGACGATGTTTTGCAATGCAATAAAAAGTAATCAAATACTTGCAAGGTGGAGAAGGAATGTCTAAGATAGTAGCATCCATCACCAACAAACAGCAGCAATTTACCTTTGAATCAAACTCCTGAACTTCTTCAACTAACTTAAAACATGAATCCCAACAGATGGGTAGAAGATCGGAAAAGTCTTGCTCTGAGAAGTTTGCATCTTCAATATGCAAACACAGTGATCGACAGGCTGCCAGCTAAAAAAAAAAAAAGAACTCAATATTTGGAACAACCAAAAACTACAAGAGAAGGGCTGCAAGTGAACATGATAGTATATCAAAGAAAAGCTAATAAGAACGAGCTCAAGGTGAACAAGAGACGTCATTTCAAAGGAAAGAGATCTTATGGAACATACCCTGACAGACAAATCCTTATCCTGCAGCAAACTTATTAAGGCACAATATACTGCCCTTTTTGTGTCATTCTTAATCTGCAGGTAACATCAGAAATTTATCATTTATGGCTCATTTTATCTTGTGACCAGGCATATTACTATATTCACAGCAGCAAAGAAAGAGAAACCAGAAATGTACTATGGGAATTTTTTTTTCATTGTTCATCCCAGTGTAACTCTTCTATCATCCCAGAAAAGTACAACAGAATAGCTATTTCTAGCACAAGTATGGCACTTAGCCTAGTTTCTTCAGAAACAGACACGGGCTTTGAGCATTTCAAGGTAGATGCAGAAATCTTACACTGCTGACACAAAAATTATAGCACCCATCTTAGTGGGATAGAATCAATGGTTAGTAGGACTATCTACCAATCAAGCATGACCTTAAAGTCTAAAACTACTGATGACCTTCATGCAAATTGAGGAGAAATGCGCTTGCATACTACTGCCTTGTAAGAACATACAATAATGATAAACTTGACAATGATGAAATTCTAAGAACACATATTCAATAAACTAAGCATTATCAACAGTCAAAGTGTGTACACAGAACAATGACCAGCAATTCAGTTACCTCAGAAACCCATTGTCCCAATATCAGTGCAACTTTCCTATGGATGATACGCATATTTGGATGACCATTAGAGAGTTCCAGGGATAAAGCTCCATTAAACCTGCAATTTGTTGTCATCCATTAAAAAAATGGAAAAGCCATGCAACCATTCCACTTTCAGAAAGCTGGCTCAATTAGAAGGTAGAAATTGAGTGGCATTACATAGGATCTTTTTTTGGATACTCTCTCCCCAAAAATCTAATGCTGCACTAGCTACTACAAATGCACTACTTCTTTTGAAATGCTTTATTGGATCTCAATGCATCGCAAGTTGCACCAAATTCAAAAGTCTGCCATGAATTGTAAGCTGATATTTCATTCAGAGCATAAAGAAGTGCATACTTGTATAGTTTGATTGACAATACAAGAATAGAAGCCAAGAAAAAAGTATTACATATGCTTCTTCAAACTCCCTAAGTTTTATGATAACAATTAACCAGCAAACATATGCATGAATAAATAGCAGATGATGCTAGTTCCATGTTACATATGGTTCTCATAAACCATTCTTATGTGCAATGTGAAAGACATTAGTTGCATGAAACTATTGACTGACCAAACACAAAAAGTAGTGCACTAGAGAATGTACATACCAATCTTTGAAGCTTAGGTAGTTTGAGAGCTCATAATATACATAGGCAGCAGCACCATAAGCAGCATCTTTAAGAAGCAGCCCTGGAGTAATTTCAGTCACGGAAGTTGGGCAACCATTCATTGCTTCTTGAAGGATGGATACAACAACAGGTGCCAGCAGCTAAAAGTAACAAATGAAGTCAAATAAGCAAACATTTATTTGTACAAAACCTGTTTATTAACAAATTGTGGTAAAATGCCACCTACTTGGCTATGATTTTCAAACAATACAATATATAAAGCTTCAGCACAAGGCCTTAGTTTCTCTGTCCACTGAACCATGTCCTGCTCATGATGGAAAGCCTCTGGGTTCTGGTACCATTCCTCCAAATCACCAGCAGTTAGAACAAAATACCTGTCAAAATATTACTAGTACAGCATTAGCATAACATCTGAGATGACAAATAGCAATACCAAAGTTTTCTCAAGCATAACAAAAATCATACATATGTTAACTCTGTTTTTCCAGGGATCTTTTTCTGTTTTCAACCCCCATTTAGGAGAACAAGATGGGAAGGAAATAATGTAAAGTACTTATCCAATCATCAATAAAAACTATCAAGCAGGTGCACTAGCTCCAAACACCATGTTTTTGGAGCCAGAAAATGAGCTCTCCTTGCTGAATGGTTTTAGATCTAAAGGCTTGGATAACAACCTAAATCTGCGAGATCATTCTTGATCATTAACGCTTAGCTAAGATAACAAACATGTCAGGAATATTTTCTTGGTCAAAATACTATGCAAGTTTTAATACTTCACTTGTTACAAAGCAATGAACCCAGAAATAATTTTACAAAATATATATTCAGGTGCTCACTGTCAAATCTGAGTTAAACAAGATGGGGAAACAGCATAACCAAAGGGACAAGGGAATCCAATTAAAAGAAGCACAAGTCATTACCTTCTTATTAATACATTGCACAGAAGTACTATCCGTTCATTGGGCAGAAGGGTAGTCAAGACACCACCGACAACATTTGAAATGTTTTTCTTCATCTGCTCCAGTGAAACTCCATTCTCATCCATAACCCTACCAGTAACACTTGGCTTATATTCTTTACATTCCAGCACACGCTTCACCATTACCATGCACTGAATGAGAAATTGCTCATAGGACAGAATATGTGGCTCAGGATCTGCAATCTTATTTAAACAGAAGTTCATGACAAGTGGAAGAACACATTTGTCACCAAATGAAAAAGGATGTCTTCCCTGAATTGCACTTAAAACCTTCATCAGCTTAGTACATGCTCTCTTTATGAAGTCCCAAAATTTAGGATATCCATCCTGAAAGGATGAATCTGCAAAATATGGCAAGCAATGCAGACAAATTAATATAACACAATTTTTGGCAGGATGGGGCACCAGCTTGAAGCACTAAGATATAAGACAGGTAAATGATATTTCCTCTACATTTACAATGGACAACTGACATCTCAATGTGAAACACTAGTAAAGAAGATTTTCTGTTCCAGAGTAGAGCCCTATAAGAAAAGAAAAATGACAAGATGATAGAAATTGACATAAGATGCACCCAATTAAGAAACCAATTTCCTGGACATCTTATGCTGTGCTCAAACAAGTAAATACATGAAAGCTCACACTACTACACCTCCCTACCACTTTTACAAATAGGTTTCTTATTACATCAATCACCAAAAAGACAAAAGATTGCAAAGAAACAACTCTAATTTAATTCTAAATGCATTTATCAAAGCCAAATCCATTCTTCTACCATAAACGGGTGTACATGAGTATCACATTTTCTTTCAAATATGAAAGAGGCAACTATCTCAGTTATTTATCTTGGAGAGGTGTAAAACAGTGTTATAGATTAAACAGGATACATGTTCTAGGTCTACAGATAAAATAGTGTCTATCAACAAAAAGGGGAAATATCTTACAATAGGGAAGAAAAGATTGAATGGCATTCAGAAGCACTGGAGAGACTTCCTTGACTGGCCGTACCTCCTACAAGACAGAATGCAAAATCAAATATCCTCCTTCTAAACTGCCAGGAAAATTATACAAGAAAACCAGACGCAGGTGCAGTGGACTCTTAAAATTCCCAAGAATTATTCTTGAGAAAGCAGTAAGATAAAGAGAATCAAAGAATTACCTGTATACATTTTGCATCACTTTGAAACCCTGAAATTATCAGTTGACGTATTATCTTCAAACACAATAACCATCTCTCACATGTCAGATAAAGTTCATCGTGATGCTGCTCCACAGCATTTGAACTATAGCCCTGAGCTATAGTAGAAAAACCATGCAATATAGTCTGTACATCACTCTGCCACAGGTGCCAGCTATAATCAAATAAATGGGATGATATCTGCCAAAAAACGTAAATATTATCCGATTCAGTCCACAACAAGAGCCAGGAGAATGGATAGCACCAACACACAACTAAGAGAAACATTGGAAAGAGATTCTAACCAACAATAATCCCTCACCTCAGCAAAATTCCTCTGATCTGCAGTAAGACGCTTTGTAGACAATTCCTTTAAGGTTCTAAAGAGAATCATAAAAATTCTATGGGAAGTAAGAACATCTGCTGATTGAAGCTGTTGTGCTAGAATCGAAAAGAGGTCCGGCCTGAAGTCATTCAGTTAATAAATCAATACACACTGTTCTTACAGGGAGTACCCAATAAAAGGGAATTCTGGTAATTTTCTCCCTGATATGGGATTTGAGGCAGGGTGTCACACTATTAATCAAAACAAATTTCAGAGGCATATAACCATTCAAAGAAAGGTCATGAATATTTAAAATTCTGCTTGATCTGGCATATTAATTTAGAAACCTGTGGAAACATGATTTAGTAGTACTTAGTGAAAGCTAATACCATTCTCTGGGATAATCGAAGCGAGCAATTTTTGAAATCAGCACAGCCAGCATCTGAGCTATCTGTATATGAAAATCAAATAATTAGCAAGTATGACAACTAAACTGAATTACATTACAGTGCCTTACCATCACATCGCCTCATATTTATTCTAAAACTAAATAGGGCACAGATGTCAACAATAAGAAGAAGAAGAAGTTGTAAGCAACACCTGGTAATTCTCCTCTCTCAAGTGCGACAGCAATTTTTGTCTCAGATGTACTTTCTCTTCACTGCTTATTCCTCTGAACATACAGATTCAGACTCCAATAAATCCATTAATCATCAAAACTGTAAATCACTATTGCATGAGACAGACTTTCTATAAAAAAAAAAAAAAAAAAAGGAAAAGAAAACACTCATCATCCATTTCTAGCTTACTACCAATTCGCTTCTAAAATGCATCTTAAGTATATTTTCTTAAGCCTTAAGAAAACAAGACGATGCTCGTATTTCATTTCACAAGAATAGCAAATATCTTACGAGGAATCGCGCCTGTTCCTCCAATAGCGATTAATACTGTTTTTGAAAAACACAGACGCCATTAATCGAACATCCACAAGAGATGCTAAATCTTTAACAGTAATCACTTCCTGCAATCAAACACAGACTCATCTTCAAAAAGCAGCATACAGAAAATGCATTGCAAACTCAAAAACAAGCAGAAGTCCAGGAAATGGAATAATTGAAAAAATTCAAAAAATAAAATAAAAACTACCATGAGACAATAGCAGAAACCAGGTCTGCTCTCGGATTCCGAGAGCGCCGCCTCCGCCGGTTTGCGAATGCTCTCGTCTGTGCTCATTGAGTTTGCAAGCAACGTGTACATCGCCGGCAAATCAGCGGCAGAGAGCGCCATCGCTCTCTCTCCTCGTCAATACCTCTCGCAACTATAAGAAGCAGCTGAGCCAAATTAGTGAGTCGGATCGGTGAATCGCGGAGGAGAAGAGAAAGATTCTGATGTCGCGATGCTTCACATGTATATCGAGAAACATGGATGTGACGATTGGAAGAAATGGAAGCGATGACTATGGGAGTGATTTTAGAAGATGGTCTGTAATGGCAGCCCTCTACTTACAGGAAGGAAGCATCAAAAAAACTGCATAATGTGGAAGGGTGCAGCGGCTTCACAGTGTGTCTCTGTCTGGGGATGGAAAAGAAAAGGAAAATGCTCAAGTGGAACCCGCAAGGTTGACCCCTGAACTAAGTTTTTTGGTGCAATAAGCCCCGCAACAAGAACTTTTGTGAACTTCATGGAAGCCCCTCAAAGTAATTTGGTTGCAGTGTAACTCCTGAACAAGACATCATGATACATACCATAACCGTTAGAGGTGAAAACTGAAAAGAAAATTAACAGAGATGCAAGTGACCACCTCCTTGTTCATTAATGGCTTACTAATGGGACTTCATCATCCAATATTATATTATGAAAGTTGATTTAAAGAAGAAATTTGAGTATTTAACTTTCAAGTTATTTAATTATGAAAAAAGAAATATCAAAACATTTTGATATTAAAATAGAGAATAGTGCTTATTCGCCTGAACTTCTAAAGATTAAAAGAAATATTATTCTAAAATTATGTCATTTTAATAAATACCTATTGAAAAAAACTAAAATTTCCTATTTTTAAAACATGAATATAATTTTTTTGTCCTTTTTCTTTTTATTTTTTTAGAGGTAAGAGGGACAAGCACAAACCCCTTAAAAATATCAAAATATTCAATTAAAGTTATTAAATATGCAAGATATAATATAGACATTAATTTTATTAAATTTATTGTATGATTGTTATTGAACCTGTTAACATTTTTAATGTTTAGATATTTTGATTTTCTATTTTTCCTTTATTTATTAATAACTTGATTTGTTTGAAAGAGGTGGGGAGAGGTGAGGAAAGCTTGCATTATTTTGATCAATTATATTAAATCACTGAGCTAACAAAATAATTTAATTGATTATAATAATTTTCTCTCCTTGCTTCCCCACCTCACCCTTTCCATTAAACAAAATAGATTGTAATTGTACCTTTTGTATGTTTGATTGGCCTAACCATAGTTAAAATTAGGGTATTAGTAAAATGAATTTTTTAAGCAAAACGGCTTTTTTAATATAAGAGAAAAAGTTATATTAATGTAAGTGCTTACTTATAACAAATTTCAATATTAAATAAGAGCAAATAAATCTATAATTTTCACCATAAGATTGCAATTGATAAGTTGTTTGTACCCTTTATGTTAGCATTCATGTCGAATAAAGGAGCCTTTTAAGCAAACTTTAACGATTAGAAAGGATTGAGGTTGCTTACCATCTCTAGTTAGTGCTGGCCTTTGCTGTCATCCATGACCATGTTGTTTGGGAGTCTAAACAAAGCAAATTTTGACATGAAAATTGTTGGGAACTTGACTGCATCAAACTACTTTGTTCAAGGGCCAACTAAAGGGTATTCTACATTTAATTGATACTCCTAGAAAAAACTCGAATTCACCATAAAAAAAAAAAAAAAAATCCTTAGAGAACGGCGAAATGTGCAAAACTTAGTTTTAACCTCAATTTTGAAAGTTTTAATTTCTTATCTAATATTAAAACATTTTTAACCCTTTATCTTATTAAATTTATAAATTTTAACTTTTTACTTATTAAAATAAAAAAAATAACTCTTATTTTATACTGACTGTTAAGTCTATTAGTTAAAAATAAATTTTTATTAACTAACAATTAACTAATAACTAATTAACAGAATTAATTAAATATTATAAAATGAAAGAAGATTTTTAACAGTTAACAGTCAACTAACAGGTAGTTAATAGAATTAACAGAATAAATAAAATGTTTCAAAGTGAGGGTTATTTTTCTTTAATTTTAATAGATGAGGGACTAAAAATATCATTATATAAGATAAGGAGTTAAAACCTATAAATCTAATAAAGTGAGAGCTAAAAATATTATAATATAAAATGAGAAGTTAAAATCTCTAAACTTAACAAAATGAGGGGTTAAAAATAAGTTTTTGCTGATAAATTACGACTCAATGAGAATTTCGCCAAGTCCAACCCGGATAGTTAAGACTGGATTTGGGTCATTTGACAATGGACTTTCTATGTTGGGCCTTTAATTGGGCTGCCAAAAACAAAGAGAGCGCGTGGGAATTGGTGATAACAAAGGCAGTCACGGTGTTACACAATCCATGTGAAAATTCTGAATTCTGAAATCCTATTGGTCAGAGTGCGTGGGAACACCTTCTCCTACCACGTGTACACAACGGCTTTAAGTGCCGCCCCGGAACCATCTGGAGTTTTCAATCGCCGCCAAAGTATTTATTTGCATGACAACGAAACTCTCCTTCCTAGTTCTTGTTGTACGTTTTTACGAATAGGCACTAACGTTTTCTAAGTCGGCGATCACAACCTGAAAAAAGTTTTCAGGTGCGATCTGGTTTGAGACGATGAAACTCCGTCCGGTATTATCCGTCGTTTTTTTATCGGCGCTCTTAATCTTACGCCTCGAAGCAAAACGCCCTGACCCCTACAAGGTAAAACCCTCGCTTTCCTTCAATTTCTGCTTCCTTCGTTTGTTCTTCCTTTCATTTTTCATTGTTTTGTCCAATTTTTGTTATTTATAGAGTGCCACTGGTAAAAAAAATTGGGGAAAATTTGCAGTGTTGTGTAATTTAATGTAAAAGTTTGAAGCTTTAATGAAAGAAATAGGAATGGTTGCGGAATACTTGAACTTTTTCAAAAAAAAAAAATTTCTTTGTAAGGGCATCTTCAATGTGGATATTTTGTGCATTAGGTGGTGCTTGCTGTAATTCTAAGGCAATCAAATGTGCCCTTAATTTTCAGTGCTTTGTTTTGCATTTTTTGTTCTGAGTCTTCTGACAAATTCAGTTTCTTGCCAGGTTCTTGGTGTGGATAAAAATGCGAGTCAACGGGACATCCAGAAAGCGTTTCACAAGTATGCTTAATTGCACTTTCTGATTTCTTGTAATGAAGATTGTTATGTTATGATTGTGTAATGTAAATAGACTTCTCTCCTTAGTTTGTTATTTGTTTATTTAGGCACTGATGAATCATGCTTTATCTATATGCTTATGAGGTTCAAGCACATAACATTTGGCAATTTGAGATTTGCTAATTATTTTATTGTCATATATGAGTAAGCATGGGTCAATAGTCTTATTTTACTTTGTATAATAATCTGTATTTGCTTGATAACCCAGATAAAACTGTAGTGGGGTATATGATTGTTAGATTTAAGTGCTCTTTTTTTCTTTTCTTTTTTGTGTAAGGAAGAATGTAAGAGAAGGGAGTGTCTAATTTGGAGTATTATTTTCTTTCTAAAACATTCTCTTTTCCTTGTTTGTTGATACCTTAAAATCTTTTGTATTCCCGTCAAAGATTCTCTGTATTCCATTTTCTAGGAGTGGCACGACTTCTTTTAATGTTTTGGGTTTTTTTTTTTTTTTTTCCGCATGCATAAAATGTGACTGCATCAAACACATGTACGATGTTGGATTATTATTTCTTTCTACCAACTTTTGCTTCTATTATCATTTGCAGGCTTTCTCTTAAATATCATCCAGACAAGAACAAAGATAAGGGTGCACAAGCAAAGTTCGCTGAGATTAACAATGGTAATGCAAACAACTTCTTCTTTCTTCTATTTACATATTTTTTTCACACTTCCAGTGATCCTGTAGCTTCATGCACTTTAGGGGACGATATGTTGGAATCTTTATGGTTCTTCATTTCATCTGATGTTGAGTGTGTATAAGATCACTTAGTTTGTTGTAATAAAAGGACAAAAACTGGGTTGCATTAGTATGGGTTGTTGTACTTCCTTTCTTCTTTTTGTCTGCTGTCAGAAAATCTGATTGGTATTATCTTATTTTATCAGCGTATGAGATTTTATCTGATGAAGAGAAGAGAAAAAATTATGATTTGTATGGAGATGAGAAGGGCAGCCCTGGATTCGATACTGGCTACCCTGGTGATCAAGGTGGGTATACTTACTTCACAAGGGGTGGACCAGGACAAACTCAATTTACTTCTGGGTCAGGTGGATGGGCGCATACGGGAGGGCAAGGAGGTTCCAAGACTTTTTCATTTTCGTTTGGTGGTTCTGGTGGTCCAAGTTCCTTTGGTATGAGTCTGGATGACATTTTCTCTGGTTTCTTTGGAAATAAGGGTCATCATGGTGGTTTTAGTGGATCAAGTGGGTTTAGTGGATCAAGTGGGTTTAGTGGATCAAGTGGTTTTCAATCTCGAGCTAGGAGTCCACCTAAGAACATTAGAGCCATGAACTCACAGATCTTCAAGAAAGAAATAGTTAACCAAAGGATGACATGGCTTTTGTTATCTTATACACCCTCCTTGGAGACAAGTGAATATTTTGAAGTTATAGAGGAGGCAGCCAATTCATTGCAAGGGGCTATAAAGGTATTGTTACTTTCTTATGTTCCTTTATTTTCTGGTTTTCTGCTGATTGTCGTTCTCATCACCTTTTCCTCTATGACAGGTTGGACGCATAAACTGTGAAACTGAATCTTCTTTCTGTAAGGAACTTGGTATACAACCCCGAAGGGCACCAAGGATATTTGTCTATTCATACAAAGCAAGTGAAAAGGGTTCCCTGGAGGAATACAGCGATTCTGTTTCTAGGAGTCTCAAAGCATTTTGCCAAGATAATTTACCAAGGTTTTCAAAAAGGATCAACCTGAATCATTTTGATTTTTTCTCTGGTAATGTGGAAAAACTTCCGAGGGTGATGCTGCTTTCTACCAAAAAAGATACACCTGTTATCTGGCGTGTTCTCAGTGGCTTGTATCATAAACGCTTCAGTTTCTATGATGTAGAGGTATGTTGTGGTGCTCATTATATAACTCCATGGGTTTTCAGAAACTCTTCCATTCTGTTTTAATATTGTGACTTGTCAGAAAGAATATGTCATGCTATATTAAATAATAATTAATTACTTAATCAATCTTCTTTTCTCCTTGAGTATCTAGCTGAGCTTGCCACATTCTAATTGTAGAGTTGATTTAGACTTCCTTTTTTTTATGTAGGTTCATGATGTTTCTGATCCAACTTTGAAGAACTTGGGGGTTGAGGCACTTCCAGCTATAGTTGGCTGGCTATCTAATGGGGAGAAACATGTCCTGAAATCTGGGGTTTATGTAAAGGATTTAAAATCTGCAATTGATGATCTTAGTACGTTGCTTGATAGTCTCGAGAAGAAGAACAAGAAGGTAGCTTCAGCTCAAGCTAGCAGACAACAAACCGATTCCATGGGGAAGCAGCAGATACCTTTATTGACAACGTCAAATTTTGATTCATTATGTGGGGAGAAAACTCCTGTCTGTATCATTGGAGCTTTCAGATCTTCTAAATCTAAGGAAAAGCTGGAATCCATTCTTTCTCTGGTGAGTTGAATTTTCTTCTGCAGTGATAGTTGGACTCTTTTTTTGCCAGCAGAGTGTTGACACTTTAACTTGTTAAAAATAAGAAGTTTGATTCAATAAGACAACAGGAGGAAAACTCATAGTATTACTTTAACATTAAGTTATTCTAAATATTAAACTTTCTTGTGCTCAATCAGAGAGAAATAACCATACCTTTATCATTTTCAATTGATTAGAAAGCATTAAGTGCATTATTATTTTACATGGCAGTGTGTACTAACCATGTGTAAAATTGGAGATAGTGCTATTAACATAACCTGAAAACCCTGGACTTGAGTTGCTTGCTAATTACTTGATTTTACTCTCAGGTTTCACAGAAATCACTATCAAGGAGACAGAACCTGGCCTCTAGCTCAAGCAATTCCATATCCTATGCTCTTGTAGATGCTTCAAAACAGACATCATTTTTAAATGCATTCCAAAAATCAGGGTTCAAATCATTGGATGAGTTTTTGATAGCATACAAGCCTCGGAGGGAGAAGTTTGCCACTTTTGAAGGTGATATGACCTTGGAAGAAATAGAAAGGTTTATCAGTTCTGTCCTTAATGGAGACATACAATTTACCAAAACACATCGGAAGCCTGTTGTCAGGTGAAAGTAATTATGGTAACATGTAAATAGAAGAGATCATATTTTTGATGATCCTACCTTGATACAGTAGAAGTTACAGAACAATACAAATGAATGCCTCAGTTTCCCTGGCTGCCTGGAGTAACCTATTCTTCCATCATATATAACTTACGAATTGTTGGCCATGTATCATCTCATCATAGAGGTTTCTTACATACAGAGCCCCGGAGCTAATTTTATTAGTCCCACTCAATTTTTTACTAGTCAATGTAAATTCTATTACCCTTTTTCCCTAGGTTCATTTGACAATGTAGAACATGAAAATAGAGATATTCTGCATTCAGCATCTAATAAAAGTAACTTAGAAATATTCTGATTATGGTACTGATTCTGATTGCATGATATCTTGCATTTTTTGTTGGACTGTTTTCCTTGATTTGAAGAATGTTGCTGTATGGGTGAGCGCTGGGTGTGGATACGGCCACACTTTAAATGTGTTAAGGTCACACAATTACTAATGTATTTGTTTGATTTGGTTCATATTTTATTAATGGATTTGTTTAACACAGTTTAATTTTTTAATACTATTGACACAAACCTCACATTTGAGATTTTATTTAATGAGAATTAAGTTATTTTCATTCAAAATTAACAAGCAATTGGTTAATTAATTAAAGTAAAATTAATATTTATATTTTAAATAAAAATTAATAATAAAATTTATATTTTTTGTACCTTTAATTTGTGTTCTAATAACACATGGTAAAAAATCCTTTTGTTAATGTATTATTTTTTTAACATGTTTTGTTTATAATGTCGAAGAACATTACAAATAGATATCATTTTATTAAGGTTTAATTTATTTAGTACGGTTTTAGATTTTTAAATTTGAGCTGCGAGGTCTTTTTTAATATATCTAGGAATTTTTATTATATTTAAAAATTTAACTTTCTCATAAAAATTTAAAATTTAAAATTAAATTAAATTATAATATTAATTACTATATATATGAAAAAATAAAAATAAAAAACTTAAATCAAAATTATATTAAATAAAATTTAAATAATTAATATTAATTATTGTATCTATTTTTTTTACATTTTATTTTGAATTATACCAGAGAAAATAAACTTTTCTTATTTTGAATTTTTTTTATTTAACTTAAAATTCAAATTTAAAAATTTTAATTTAAACTTTCAAATTCTTAATTATTGACTCACTCTATTAAGATTAATTATTGTATCTATTATCAATATTTTTAATAATTAAATAAGATATAATTAATATTTTTAAAGAGAAAATTAATAAATGTGTGATCTAACACATTTATAGGCGGCCAACTTTAATATTAGCTTCTTCTTTTTTTCTTTTCTTTTTTTTTCTATTTTGTTGGCATCATTTAGATATTGGGTTTGTGGTGGATATACTTATCATGGAACTACCATTCAATTTCTAAGTACGTCGGTTCTTTTTTTTTTTTTTTTTTTTGGAAAATTAAGGACGTCGGTTCTTAATCACAAGTCTATATACTATACCAAACTGATAGCCAGCAGGACCCAGGATTTATTAACCCATCACCCCAACATATCTCGTGATGCTCTGCGTAAAAAGCTAGAGCAAGTTAGGCAACGACATCCCAGCATATATCAACCACACACAATTACCAAGTTGTGTGTTCGTGTATTTTTTTCATTTTTATGGGAAAATAGGCAATGGATCTACGAAGTTGTGTGTGGTTAATGTTGGAAGGGGAAAATCCCTGTCAGTGACAATTGTGCTGCCACGCATCTGATAGCGAGTTGATTATGCTTTTATAGTCAGACGTAACGATCATAATTATGATCATAATCACGGAACCCCAATTCAACGCAACCTTCATTTTTTCTTCTCCTAGCTGCTACTACAGTCGTGTATGCCAGACTTTTCGGTCTTCCTTCTAGTTCCCAAAAATTGAATTTTGAAGAGAGAAGTCGAAATTATATTTTTAGGAACTTAAATACTAAATTTTATCAGTGAAATTGTCAAGATATTTTAAACTTAATTTTATTTATATATTAATTAGTTAAGGGTATTTAAATTTTTTTGTTACTATTAATCTTGATATTGCAATTAATCTATTGCCATGATTTTTCGTAATTTTTTTATCTTAAAATAATTTTTTTAAAATTTTTTAAAATTAAAAATTTGTTTTCAAAATAAACGGTGTCTAAGTTTCAAAGAGAAAAGAAAAAATTATTAGTTGTAATATTTTAAATGTAAAAACTTAGGACCATGAGTAAAATTATTCAAATATTTTACAACAAATTTTCTTTGTTTGTTGATTCCTTTATTATTATTATTTTTGTTAAAAAATTGTTAAGCCATTTATACTACAACCATTTAAGTCCTTATAAGCCTTTCCTCAATTGCTTTCCTGTCCTTTAGGCAAAACTCATTGTTAAGCCCTAAAACTTTCCACAAATTACCATGTAAGACCTTGCACTAATTTTTAAACTGATAAGCCCCTCAACCGCTTCATCTGTGCAAATTACCCCCTTCTAGCGACGTTTGTGTTTCGCGTATGTGACAACTAAATATGAGAAATTACAATTTTGGTCCTTCATTTAATCAAATCTAAAAGAAAAGTTGTCCCTCAACTTAAAATATTTTATTAAATTAAGAGTGTAATTAATATTTTTTT